TGAACTGTACACATGTTTTCCTTTTCTTTTGGTCGATAACTGCCGTTTCTATATTAACAATTTCGTTTGATTCTGATGAAACCGTGTTGTTGTTATTAAGCTGTTTCTTTGCAGACACACTAAGGTGACATATATCAACACTTGGCAACTTATTGACTATTTATTCAGTTGGGACGCCTTTTACATTACGCGTTTCGGGCATTGGCCCCTCTTCAGCCAACATAAAACACAAACCACTATTGTACAGATGTCGAACAGGATGGACAATTTCATATTTCATATACAACTTGGATAACAAACAAGGTCGACGATAATCATTGGAGAACAAATTGTTTTTTTGTTTAAAAAATTGTTTTTTGGAAATTGTTTAAAATTGTTTTTTGGAACTAATTGTTTTTTTTTTATATTCTGACAAAGCTTAAGTGAAACAAGTGAAAGTTCTTATTAAATGCTTTAATTTCGTATATCATCGGTTATGTGAAATTTATGAAACTTGTGTAAGTTTAGATTTATAAATACTTTTAAAAATATTGTTTGTAACTATAGATTTGTGTGGAAAGTATGTAAGTTAGAGACAATGGTTTATATTATTTAATATTTAAATTTTCTAAACAATTTTCATCTACTTAGAAAATCATTTAGTATAAAAACAGAAATGATACAGAACAAATTACAGATGTAAAAATTAGTTTTGAATAAGTAATTTTATGACATGGCATTAAAATAAACTTTATAATCATTATTCTACTACAGTAGATCCCACTTTTATGACACTCAAACATGGTATTACACACAGTCAATTATGACTGTATGAAATTCCATATTTTATCATTTATCTTCTGTGTGGAATTATATTGTACAGTTTAAACTGTTTTCAGAAACTTTCCAAAGATTAAGAGAAATAGTATAGCTTTTTATGACAGTTTTCCAGAAACTAGTTAGGTCATAAAGTTGGTCTGCTATATTGAATTTCAAAAATATAGTTTTGTAAATTGTTTCATTTATGGATTTTAGTATTTAGTAAAACATAATATGGTAAATTAATTTATTAAACTTTTTTAGTTAAATCCTGTCCAAACCCTCAAAGTCCACTAAATGGTCATGCTGCTTTTACTGTTACAACATACAAATCAGAGGTCCATTATACATGTAGAAAAGGTTTTATTTTATCCGGTCCAAGTAAAAGACTGTGCCAAGAAAATGAACAATGGGATGGGAGTGAACCAACATGTATTGGTATGTCTTAAATAGCTTTATAAAGTTTTACATTTTGTACATTTCTTAATCTTAAGCCTTATTTTTTTAATTAGAAGTAACATGTCCAGAACCTTTAAATGTACCTGGAGGATATTTTATTAGTATTAAAAGAGGTTCAGCTGGATCTGGAAAATATATTGATGGTGATATCATTTATTACTATTGCAATAATTCTGCAAAAAATGTTCTTGTAAGGTGTACTAATGGAAATTGGATTGGAATGCTTCCAGAATGTGATGGTAAATGATTTTAAAACTTGTTAATATTTGAAGTATGTAATGTCATAATGTAAAGTCCAAAAAACAAACTTTTCAGGAGAGGTAAAAAAATACTTTTTCTAGTGAATTAATTAATTTCAATTTCGCAATAAAACGGTAAAAAACTTGCTAGGTTACAAATTCTCTGGAATATTAAAATGATGTAAATGTAGGCTGTAACATTTTAAGTACCAAAGGTCATGTGACTTGCACTTCAGCACATTAACTCCTTAAGCCTTTTTCAATTTTTGATATTAATGTAATCAAACGTAAAAAATACTTAAAACTGAAAAAAACGAAAGAAATGCGTTAATTTTGAAGAAAAAGCTTCAAATTTTATTTTCCTTTGTCTCCCCTTTCTGTGAAATTTGACATTGATAAGTCATTGTTTACACAGCTGGATGACCTTGAACACAGCTGGAGTTGGATTTCCCGGGACATTCTCATAGAAGTCTCGGGAGGCGATGGGTTTATAGTAGGGTGAATACTAGTTGGCTGTATATTTTTAAATATTTTTAAAAAATCAAAATTTTTATTGCGATTTTCAACCCCCTGGCTTAATTAAACTTATATATAATAAAATCTATTTATTAAAAAAATTAAAAAACTATCGGAGGTCATTTTTGACGTCAGAAACTAGCTTTAAATAACTTTACTAAAGGAAAATCGGTGCACTACAACTTCAGAACAATGAATGAAATTTGATATCAAACTCCCTTTAAAAAACAATTAAAAAGTAATAAAGCATGAAGCACGCGTCATTAAAAGTTGATTAAAATCGTGATAACATTTTTTCACGTGGGAAAAAAATTTTGAAAAAATTTGGAGACTTAAAACATTCCAAGAATTCAGAAAAAAAATTTTTTTTCAAAAATGGTCTTAAGGACCGCGTTTTATCTAACGCTATGTAACTTGCCCAAGATATCTTGGGCTTAGGGCTTAAGGGGTTTTAAACATTGTGGCTTCACATAAATTCAACTTAAAAATACAGCCACTTAGTGCCAATATCACCACAATATTTTTTGTAGCATAAAACATTGTGTTTAAAATTCAATTCTTCAATAAAATGTGTTTAGAGAAAAATTGCATTTACAATTATGATATTGTATGCTTCATTCACTTAAATTATAGTAATTAACCATAAGTTATTTGTATTTTTAAATATTTTGTATTTAAGAACAGTCTTTAAAAATATAAAAACTGAAATTATATTATACATTTGGATGTTTGTTGAGAATTATTAAAAGCATTTTAGAGGCTTTGGAATTTGTGCATTTTCTAGCCACTTAAATTAATTATGGGATTAAAAACTTTTTATCAATAAATATATGACTTTATATGATTTTCTGAAGGATGGTCTTTTTATATACAGTGAAAGTTTGTTCATTCAGAATGTGGTAATCCAGCACCCTCTGAAAAATAGCTGATAATCCAGAATTGTCTGATAAAAGTCCAGTATGCTATTATACCACAGATCAAAATATGTTAGGACATAGTGTGCTGAAGACTGTGTGAAAACTAAGGCAAAAGTGGGGCACTTTCATGGTGCTGTCAAAGCCAGCTATGATTGAGAAGAATGACTCATTTTGTTACAACACTTTTTGTCAAATTGGATGATTTCACTGGTGCTTTCTTGTGCATAATGTGTTTTATGCCACAATTACCAAACAAATTGGTGAAAACATCTTTCAGGATCATCTGATGTTTGTAGGTTTTGACAAGAATTTTATCCTTGATATATCTGCACAGAAACTTCTATAAAAGAAAGCTTCTCCACCATGGCAACAACAGTCATTTGGGAGTTATTCTTATCTATTCATCTATCATTCATTCAGCAAATTTAGAAAACAGAATTGATAGGCTGATCCAACTTCTAGATAACGTGCTATTTGTCTCTAAATTTAACTTTCAGCACTATTAGCAATCAAAATTGACCATTAGTTTGTTCTGCATCACCATAGTCTGATTATGCAGAGTTTTGATTCTCTTTGAACAAAAGTGAGGAAAGTGGCAAAAGTGTGAAAAGAAAATTTATGGAACTGACTATAAGAAAATAGAAATCAAACAACTGAAAAAAAAAGTAAACCAGCAAAAAAATTATGAATAGTGATGACCAATATTAAAATCAGTCTAACAAAGGTCTAAAATGTCTTTGACATTGTGAATTTTGCTGAAATTTTAATGTTTTAGTACATCTCTTCCACTAATGCAAGGTAATGTAACTTGTGCCAATGAGCAGTAGTTCACGAGAAATTATTGTTTAAACTTTTTTCCATGGGTTATATATTGAGTTCTATGATTGAATCTTAACAAGTTTGCCTATACCGATGATTATAACACCAGATTGAAAAGCTTGACATTACAGGTTTGCCCTTTTTTCAACTTTTTTTACATATTTTTTTTCTGAAATATGCAATCCAGTGAATTATATTAATCATTTGCATATCTTTAAATAATTGTAGAAAATGTAGGCCTATTGATTTACTATTCAGTTGTTGGTTTAAAAATGTGTGAATGATTTTAATAATTACAAAATGCTTTGGGCCAAATATATTTTTTAATAATTCATTAGACTGCACACTCCAGAAAAAAATTGTGAAAATGCAGTATGAACCATGACTTAGACTTTCTCAACCTGGTATTATATTCACTGGTCCATGCCTGATCATTACAATAGAACTCAATATACCCTTGGAAAAGTATAAAAAATGATATCTTGTAAACTAACTTTGATTTAGATGAATGTGCATTAGTGGAAAGAATGTATTAAAACATATTAAAATTTTATTAAAATTCAGTAGGATGTCAAAGCTTGGATGTCTCCTTGTAAAATCAAAAAGAAAAGTAAAGTTAATTTGCTGTAATTTGTAACTGAAAGTGAAGTACAGTAGAACCTCGAAAACTCGGCCTAATGTGGACCGAAGGGTGGCCGAGTTTGTGAAAATGCCGGGTTATCGGGAATGGGGTTAAAAAAAAGTACGAGTGTTTCCTCAGAAAATACTGTACTGTACTTGTATGTATTGTTTACTTGAGAATATAACAGAGAATAAACTGCCCAAATACCCTTAAACAAAGGAAAACTACGTACTTTATGAAGGCTACGTACTTTATTACATGAAAATGAAAATTAATGAATACACTGTGTACAGTAATTTACCTGATAAGACAGACCTCAGAAAAATACTTTATGAGAGCTTTTATACTTTTATAAAGCTGTCTATAATGAAAATTAATTAACTAAGGATTTTTTTGCCCTGCCAGGGTGTGGACGAGTTATCCGGAGTGCCGGGTTATCGAGGGCCGAGTTTTCGAGGTTCTACTGTACTTACTAAATATGGAGGCAAGGCTGCATCTAAGACAACCAAAAATGGCTGAATTAAATTCAGCTTAGTACAAGTAATTTAATACAAAATACTCTGAAGTATTTTGTATTAAATTACTTGTACTAAGCTGAATTTGTACTAATTCTGATATAATTGATGAAAAAGTACTTGTATTAGTAATACTTGTACTAATTCTGATATAATTGATGAAAAAGGAACAGTTTCATGCCAAAATAAACATTGCAGAAGTATGTTCTTTGTTGTTGTTTAAATCTTTGAAGTTCAAATGACATGGCATTCAAAAACTGTATCAGGTGTCTGTTAGCAGTGTCATAACTAGCTTTTTGTGTACCTTGTGCAAGACTATTTTTAGCCCATCCCCTTTTTTAGAAATAATAAAAATAATTTTTTTTTAATGATGTTTTTTGTTAAACTTGCCCCATGGTGACAAAATATAAAATTTATAAATGAAAATATAATGCTCAATTTTTGGTACCTTATTCCAAAGCCCTCTTTCTCCTGGGCATTGTGCAGGTGCAGAAATAAGAGAGAAAATTTTAGAAGTAATTTCTAGAAATTTTAAGGTGATTCTGGATTTTGTTTTGCATTTATATTTATTGCAAAAATTATTTCAAATAGCTATGATGATAAAACTGAGAATAGAAGTAATTTTATATGTTTATTATATGGAAATAAATCTTTTTGAATATTACAGTAGTTTATATATGCTTCGGAAATTATGAGGAATGTTATCTGATTTGGTGCTGTCTTCTGATTCTGGTAATTCTTAAATTTGTTTTAAACATCAAAAACTAAGAGATTTTAATTGGCAAGGAATCTGCCTCAAAGTTGGACATGTGGAGTAGTGATTTTACCATTTCATTTTGAAATATTTATTCATTCAGAAGAATTTTTATAATGAAAAGTTACATCATGAATTTTTCAACACTAAAAATTCTTTAACTTTTTTTTTTGTTTTTGTTTTTGTATTGCAATTTGCAGACTGTTACACTCCCATTGTCATTCATCCATCCATCTATCCTTTATTAATCTCGAGAACAGAGTGAGTTAGATGAAAATCAAGACCAGATATTGAAAACTTGTGGCCAGAAGCTCAATTAACTATATATGAACTTCCAGTTTAAACTGGAAGTCACATGATTTTTTAAATTTAAAATGATTAAAAATTGCAGCTTGGCATTGTGACAATATCACAATAATATACATTTGATTTTTACAGTATAAAATTTCATTTTAATCTGTAAAATAATTGAAAATGTAGTAATCTATTGAAATTTATTTCAGATAAGTTATATAATTATTAATTTATAAATTTGAATAAATTTATACTTATCTATAATATTGATAAAACATTTAAGATAATTTTATATTTGTCTTATTTCAAATTTTTCAAAATACAATTTATTTTTTGAACATATCTTAATTAACTGTTCTACTTTTATAGTTGATCCATCATTTACTACTATTAGTATTACAACTAAACAAACAACTGAAAAACCTACAGATATTCCTGGAACACAAGGTTAGTAATAGATATTCTTTACCCCATAAGTTTTATTTAATTTTTGCATCATTTTCATTGAAATGTATATTTGATGATAATGGAAACTTTTTGTTTTCATTTAAAATTCAGTATAATTCAAATTATGCTATTTATAATATGAATATACTGTAATAAATGACTGTGTGTGGTGTTTTAATAGTATTTTTATCAATAAAATATTTATTTTCAGAAATTTTTTTAACACAATTTCAAGATGTGCCTCTGAGGGCTTTTTTTAAAAAGTTTATTAAACTTATACATATTGGAATTTAACTGAATTTCTTATAAATGATGAATATATAGGGGAATTTTTGATGGATTTCCAGTGGAAGAAATGTTTTCTATCTAATTGAATATAATCATAATTTGCATAATTGTTAACAAATGCTGAAGGTGGTTTTTTAAAATTTTTAATATGAAGTTAATTTTGAACTTATTTTGCATAACACTTTATTTACAACTAAGTGTACCTCTGCAACACAAAGCATTGCAGAGGTTAAGGTACAAAGGATAAAATGACTACATGTTACACAGCATACATTTACAGAGTGAAATTTACATAAAATAAGAATTATTTACATTACCAAAATGGTACATATATAATAAAATCTCCATATTTACAAATGTATTTTATGTATAATTGGCAGGAGAGCTATGCTGTGATAATCCTCAAGCCTTAGGGTCAGGGTATTGTTAGGATCTTTTGGGATAGGGACTATTTTGGCAATCTTCCACTCCTTGGGGAAGTACCTATGCATAAAGCATAGATAGTAGATAGAGATAAGAAGGCCCGGATGTTCCATCCAGATCACTTTGACAATATCTGCCTTTATACTGTCAATCCCTGGGGCATTGTTGTTGGAAAGCTGTCCAATAACTCTGTCGGTTTCCATGAAGAGAGGTTCATCATTAATAAAGTAGTAATTAGTGTCATTCAGATTGTTATCCTGTGCTTCATGAGTGTTCTCTTATAGACAAAATATCTTGAGCATCTTTTTTGCAGTCCTCCTAATGGCACTGTCTGTAGTATCACCAGTGCTTGTGCATGTGGGGAGTACACATGATTTTTTTAGTTTGCCAGATGCAAGCTTGTACACGAATCCCGATGGGTTGCTCATCCCTTTGGTCAAAACTGTCTCCATGAGGAGATCTTAGCATCTTTGATGTTTTCCTTATATTGTTTTTGATAGGTAATATATTCAGCCTTAAAGGTGTTTCTTCTGTGGTCCTTACATTTTTGAAATCTTCTCCTCAGCCAGTTGTTCTGTTGGCACATTTCTGTAAGTTCTACATTCCACCAGGGAACCTTCCTTATATGCTTCCTCTTGATGGTGATGCTTTCTCACACACAGTGACAATTTCCCTGATTTGGCTGAAATAAGTTTCCTGCTATTGCCATTGTTTTGATCCTGAATATAATTGCTTTTTGCCATTTGAAGCAGATGGTGCAGCCTGTCCCAATTTGCCCTACCAGCATCAAGAATATTTGTATCATTACTGGACTGGCAGTTAGTCAGGGTGTAATTAGTAGCAATGTCAAAGACAATCTTGCAGTGATCTGAGAGGCTGTCATCCTTGTCCAGCATCCAGTTGTGTATTGATTCCAGAAGATCAGTAGAACAAAGAGTTAGGTCCACCCAACTGTTGCAACTGAAAGTAGGTACTGCATGAGGATCATTCAAAATGCACAGATTGTGGGAAGAAATGAAAAGCTCCCAGGCTTTTCCCCTTTTGTCCAGGGTAGGATGTTCCCCAGAAGGGGATTGTGCATTGGAATCTCCAAGAGTAATGTAATGCTTTCTCTCCAGTTTGTAGATGATCTTCATAGATGTGAGACAACCCTCAACATCTTCCTTTCCAGGGACATAAAAGTTAACAAAAACTACTTCCTGATCCCCAATGCAAGCCTCCACACAGATGATCTTGTCATCACTGCAGTCTGCATAATAAACAATGGGCAGATTTAGGTCTTATCCAATAATAGCCACCCAGGGCTGTTAGTTTTGAACTGAAATTATAAATTCTTTCAACTTAGAAAAAGAATTGCTATAGAAAAGTTAGAAATATGGTAGTTTTTGGTAAGTTCAGAATGATGACCAATGATATGCTTTCTTGTAAAAGTTAAGTGGAGTATATTTGGCATTTTTTATTACATTTTGAATTATTTATTGAATGATTTTGACACTAATTCATTTGAAAGTTTCTCGTGATTATACAACTATGTAATTGTGAAAAATACCCAGACTACAGTCTAACGTCTGGTTTATAATCATACATCACCTCTAATAAATTGAAATCTTGTAATTAGAATGAGGTTTTCCATTACTTCCATTACATTCAGCACAGCTCACTTAACTTATCCACATTCCTCAAATAACATTAAAGCTATAACTTGTTTATTTATCAATGAATGATTTGAAATGAAATGAAATACAGTAGAGCATCGATTATCCAAATGTCAATCATCTGAAATGTCAGTTAACCGAAAGCGTTCCAGTTGGACTGTGTCGTGATGAATCAAACGGTTTTGATACTAGATTAACTTCTAAAGTATAATTTTTTTTGTTTTTATATTTTTCAATATACAGTGAAACCTCGGTATACGACCTTAATCCGTTCCTGGAGTTTGGACTTATACCGAATAGGACGTATACCAAACCAACCTTTTCCATAAGAAGTAATGATTAATCCGTTCTCATGTAAAAAAAATGGCTGGCTTTAAACACCTCGCTTTCCTCGCTAGTTTCTGCTTGA